AGAAACCTATGCCGTGTCTCCCGCATCTCGGAAGGACTGTACGTGTCAACAGTACTTGTAACGACGTTCAAGTTCACTGCATTTCCTAAGGTGGACATCTGTACTGGGGCCTTTCTGATTTCCAGAGGTGTTAGCTGGTGAAGACAACGTTTGGCATGGGGGAGGTCCTGGGATATTTCACGCTGGATTTCCCAGGAGCAACGCGTTTCTCAACACTCACCCCTCTTGGTTTCTAGCTTTACTGCTGGTAAAACAGTAATAGTGCACGTTCCCTTCATTTGGTGTTCCATTTGTTTAAATAACGTTGAATGGGAGTTTGAATGAAAAATTATCAATTTTCCAGCAAAATTATATATATCCTGTATATCGCCATATTACGTATTATACAATTATATAATTTATGTTTTTCTGTAAGTAACATAATTACATGCATTCTATATTTGTAAATTACCTACATTATAAGATAGGTTTTTATATACATATATAATACATACTTCCTAGCAGAAAACGTCGTGAGATAGGGGAATAATAGTCGCTACACTTGTATCATGTGTCCTTCTTGAGTCTATTAAGTTCCTAATCTTTTTCCTGGTGCTTTGTTTTCCAGAGCCTGTGAAAACTGTGGCAGGAGTCAGGTTTATTACACTGAGTTCAGCTTAGAACCAGGTTTTCATGCCTCCTCTACCTTCTTTTGGCTTGTGTGTCAATGACAGCAGGTGACAGAGTTCTCTAAAGACAGCTGGGCAGATGGAGACCTGCGGGAACGAGGTGCGCCCATTGTTTGGGACTACACCTCTCTTATCAAGAGAAAAGGATGGAACTCGTCCAAGGCCTCCAGCTTTCGGAATCGCTGGCCTTGTGAAGGTCTCTCTGGAGTGATGGCTGCGGGAGGGGGCTAGCGGCTATGACCCCGGTGCTGCCCCCCGCTGCTGTCCTCACCGAGTCAGCGAAGATCAGACACCCGTCTTGTGCAAGGCACTGTGCTCGGTCCTGGGAATGGGAGACGGAAGCAGAAATCAGTCAGCTAGGTCCTGCACACCAAGGGGCCTTAGATAAAAACAAGGTAACAGAAAGCAATTCCCCAACTCAGTGAAAGGTGACTAATGTTCACAAGGTATAATTCTCCCCGTAACACATTACACACACACGTGCCCACACACACACACACACACACAGACTTTCACAGTCTATTTTCATGGCATTTGGTGTAAATATCTATTTAAGATTTGGATTTTTTTTCTTTTGCAGCATTAGTTGAGGTTATAAAATGCCAGAGAACACATTTAACCACAGATGTCTTTTCTAAGTGGGTAAGATTAAGTTTTTTTTTAAGTGTGTAAGTTTAAATTCTTACTTAAGGGCTTTTTATATCTCTGCTTCTTCTGTGAAAATCTGTTTCCTGAAAATTCCATTAGGTAACCTAACATTTAACTAAATATCGTGAACATGGGACTATACTGAAGAAAGAAGGGTTTGGAGACACATTTCTCCAAATTTCAAGTGAAGCAGCACAAACCCAACCTACTTTGGGAGACTTAATCCTTTGGAATTCTCTCTCTTTTTAAAAACGAAATGAACAACACTGACATTTCTAGCCATGGGTTAGGCCAAGGAAGAGTTTAGCTATTTAACTTTCTGGATTGACTCGATAACTTTCACGTGTATAGGCTACTGCGGCAGGTAGTCTCATGATGCGGCTACTTGTACCTTTATTATAGCCCTGTACTTTTTGTTTAAAGACCATCCTTTGAATTGATATGTCTAGTAATAGGGCTTATAAGATGCTCTGTACAATTATCAGATTGAACTACTTCAAAATTTGACTAATGTACTGAAATATGCAAGTTATTGGTGGTTAGAAAATGAAATGACCTATCCCTCATTAAACATAGTTGATTATAATTGTATCCTTTGTTCCTCCAAAGTGGGTTAAGCTCCTAATATTTTCCTTGGCATTTTCTGTTTTCTAGAGCCTGTGAAATCTGGGGCAGGAATAGGTTTATTACATTTGGTTGGCCTTAGAATCTGGTTTTCAAAATATTTCCCAAAACATTTTTTAATATTCAAAGCTTAACCAAAATTTTAAAAAGATCATGTATATATAAATATATGTATTCCCATGTCATGATACTTTAAGATTTTAAATAGATTTAAGTTTTAAAGATATTTAGAAATATTTGTAGATCAGTGCTGAATTCAGTGGAATGCTTACTTTTAAAAAATAGCATGTAACTAAAAATAAAGTTCTTTGAACAATAAAACTAAAAGTTAATTATAAAGTGGAAAATGAAAATTTAAAACAGACTCATATTTTAAAAATAATAATCTTTTTCAACCTCACCCAATGCAGTTTGTGGTCTTCTCATCCCCCACCTCAGCACCGCTGTCTGTACGGTGGGGTTGACAACAGATCCCCTGTGATTTTATTTTTATGCAGCATTTCTTGAGCACCTAAATACGATTTCTTAAATGTATCAGAACTCAGCAGTACACCGAGAATAGAAGGTGGATACTCATTATTCTTAAAATGTGGTATCAAAATTAACATACAGCTCCGCATGTCTTCTTGGGGTCCTGAACAATAACAACTAGTGGAAGAATTCATCAGCCTGTAATTTTTCATGGCCTAATATATGCCAAATGTTAGGGATCTTCACGACTTAAGAATCATAGGTATTTTATGGATTTCAGGCTGCATTTAAACCTTTATCAATAGACCATAGTTGGTTGGATTATAGTTTGAATTATATTTTGGATATGAATACACAACTCACACATAATATAAATGGTTTTTTTTTTTTGTTTCTTTTTAACCTTACTTGAGGAGGTTTTCTTTCCTTTTTTTTTTTTTTTTTGTTTTGTTCAGATAGAGTGGGAGAGAGGAAGAGAAAGAGAGGGAGAATCATCTACATGAAAGGGACACATTGAGTGGCTGCCTCCCACATGACCCAACCAGGGCTGGGGACAAACTGCAGCCGAGGTACGTGCCCTTAGCGGGAACCGAACCCAGGTCTCTCTGGACCGCGGGCCGAGGCTCTAACAGCTGAGCCAAACCGGCCAGGGCTTAATGAGTCAGAAAAACAATAATCATTAACACTGACTTATAGCCTTCTCTGTGTGGCGCCATTCACGTACACCATGTACCTTTTATTATAAAAACCCTCCGGGGAGCCCACACTTATTTTCTCCCAACACTGAATTTTCTCTTTAGCAACACTACATGCACTTACTTTCGACACCAACAATGTGACCACCAGCTTTACAAACTAATTCCTCGCTCTAAGAGCCAAGTCATTCCTGGTGATAGCATCACTGGGAATAAAGCTCTTCCTGTTAAAATTCAGCTGACACTGGTCTGCTGACCGGCGGCGTGGCATGGGTGAACCCTAGCTTACACGGTTCCAGCCGTATTGACATCGGGATGCTCACCACAGAACAAAACAACACAACCACTCCAGTCCATCACGAAGCAGGGAGGGAGATGCCAATGCCACACAACCGCTTTTGTGCAAGTCACCGGGCTTCGGTTCTGAGAAAGACTAGATAGAGGTCTATTGAAGAATTCGTCCCCATGGCTCTGGTTCAGCACCTCGGGCGTCCTGCTGAACAGCCTTCTTAGCAGCTGCTCTGCCCTGGGCAGTAGCAAAGCAGGCTGGGGACAAAGCCCAGCAGGACCACAGCATCCCAACTGCTGGAGAGGAAAATCATCCCCACACTGGAACAAAGTGACGACCAGAATAAAGAGGCTTTGGCACACGCAGCTCACTGTTGTCATGACTGAGCTTTGGCATTTCGAAGATGCAGGCTTTTTGCGACAACACGTCGTGGACAGTGTGAAGGGCCCACTTGACCTGGATGAGTGCTGCACGGGAATATCCTGTGGGAATGTGCTCTGTGGCCTATTTTCTGGGGGCTGGGGGGAGGGGACAAGTAAAAAACAGCCAAAGGCACAAACATCTCTAAGATGTGCAAAGCTTGCCATGAAAACGAATTGTGGGTGTGCACATGCCCTGGGACGCTGCGGGCGGTCATACTGTCACGCAGCATAATGACCCCCCCACCCCGTTATTTGTTCTTCTGGCTTTGCGGCCCGTGGGGTGTCGTGCAGCTCCGTGCAGCCGCTTCAGGGAGCTGTGTTTGGAGCAGACCCCGCACCGGGCACCGGAGGCCTGGAGAGACCTGGAGGATTGCCAACCGGGACCGCTGACCCCGAGCGCGGCGATCTGCCGTCCTCGGAGGAGGCCGCCGGGGAGGGCGGCTGCGGTCTGACCCCACCGCGAGGGAGCCGCCCCGGAGGGAGGGCCGCACAGACCATCTGGGGGCTCGGCGCGGCCGGACGGGGGCGGGGAGCGCGGGCCCCCCGCGGCGGTCGGCGCGGCCGGGCTCCCGACTCCGCACGCGCGGGCGCGGGTCTCGGCACCGCGTCCGCCGCGCCCGCCTGCGGAGCCCAGCCCGGGGCACGCCGGCACCTCGGGACCCAGCCCCGCGGGCCGAGCGTGCGGCGTGGGAACCCAGCAGCGCCCGCACCGGGCCGGGGCGGCCGCGGCTGCGCGGGCGGGAGGCCGGCGGTGCGACGCGGCGCGCGCAGCAGCACCTAGCGGAGGCCGCCCGAGGTGCGGCGCGGTGCGCGTGCGCGGGGCGGGCACGCGGCGCGGGGGCGCGCACGGCGGGCGGGGCGGGACGGCGCGGCGCGTGCGGGCGCTCGGGGCGCACACCGGCCGGCGGGGCTGGAGCGGGCGGCCGGCTGAGGCGGCGGAGTCGGCGGCGGCGGCTGGTCGGCGGAGGCGGCGCGGAGCGGGGAGCGGGCAGCGCGCGGCTGCCGGGGCGCCTGCGGAGACCCCGGAGCGCGGGGCGGCGGCGCGGAGGCGGCCGAGCGCGCGGGGCGCCGGGCCCGCGGAGCTGTGGGCGCGCGGTCCGGCCGGGCCCCACCCGCGTCCGCGGCGCCGGCCCGACCCCCGCGGCGCCCGGGCGGAGGAGCGCGGCCGCGAGGATGTCGGCGGGCGGCCGCGACGAGGAGCGGCGGAAGCTGGCCGACATCATCCACCACTGGAACGCCAACCGGCTGGACCTGTTCGAGATCAGCCAGCCCACCGAGGTGCGCGCGGGCCGGCGGCCTCCCCGCCCCGCGCCGCCCCCGCCGCGCCCCCCCGGGCCGCCCGCGCCCCCCGCGCCCCCCGCCCGGCCGGCTGGCGGGCGCCGCTGGCGCGCGGTCACCTGTGCCCGGCCGGCCGGGCGTGGGGGCCGGGGGCGGGGTCTCGGGCCCGGCGGGGATCTGGTCCGGAGGTGCGGTTGGGGCCGGGTGGGGGTCCCGGGCCCCGGGGGCTGGGGGCCGGGGACGCGGCTTGGCTCGGTGGGGATCTGCGTGCGGAGGGGGGGCCTGGGTCCGGAGGGGGGGTCTCGGCCGGTACGGGGCCGGGGCCGGGGGTCGCGGGCCGGTCAGCGCCGAGGCCGTCCGGGTCCGGGTCCGGGTCCGGGTCCGGGTCCGGGTCCGGCGGAGGGCGTGGTTGGACGTTATTCCGTCCCGCTGTGCGCGGACCGCAGCCCGGGCTTCGCGGGCCCCTGACGGCGGCCGCTCGGACCTTTGTCACCGGAGAGAGCATGTGACCGGCGCTGCTCTGCTTCAGTGGGCTTGGAAGTTGGGGGTTGCCGGCCGGGAGAGCCCAGCACATATCAGGAAAGTTGCTCTCATTGTGCGGCTTTGCTGATAGCGCGGCCGGGAAGTGAACCCCGGGCGAGGAGAGGGCCCCGGCCATTCGCTCCGGCGGCTCAGGTGGACGGGCGCCCCCCCCGCGGCGGGCGCGGGCCGGGGCGGGCGGGGCCGGGGACCGCGCGGGGCGCTCGGCCGGCCGGCGCTGCCTGGCGGCCAATCCCGGGCGGCCTGCGGCGGGAGGAAGTCGCACTTCTCTGGGTCGGGGACAATGGTCGTTGTTGGCCGCAGAGCTGCAGAGAGCGGTCCGCACAGTGTGTGGGGAGCTGCGTTGAGCCCAGTCTGTTGGGACAGAAAGACCCTGTCGCGCTGGCTGTGACCGTGAACGTGCGTGGTGTCTCCTCCTTACGCTGTGGTTGTCGCGTAAACTCGAGCAGCGTGAAGCCCCTCGCACGGGGTTTGTGCCCCCTTAGGGGGTCGCTTCTAACGGCTGCGTTCTTCATTCGTTTTCACGAGTCCTTCAAAGTTAGTCTTATTGGTGAAGATGCCAGCTCGTGGGCACCAGTCATAGTTGCGAATTTGAACATTCTCATGAAACTTAATTCCTTTTCTGTCATTAAACCCCAGTTTATATATGTTTTAAAAAAATGTTTTTTCTTTATTGATTTTAGAGAGGAAGGCCGAGGGAGAGATAGAAACATGGAACATTGATTGGCCAACACACATCGATTGGCCGCCTCCCGCACGCCTCCCACTGGGGATCTGGCCCACAACCTGGGCATGTGCCCTGGCCTGGAATCCAACCGGTGACCTCTTGGTGCAGGGTCGACGCTCAACCACGGAGCCACACCGGCAGGGCCCCAGTTCATACTTTTGAGTAAAGATGACTTTTACCTTTTTAAACTAATTGGCGTTTTCTGCAGTGGGGAGGATTCTGTTCCTCTGTCTTCCTGGGCAGAGCCGTTCACCCTAATCCTTAGTTGAATGCTAATAGAGTCTGGGTTAAGGAAGGTTCCACTTTCCACTCTTTGACTCGCGCTTTTTAGACATGATGGTGATGCTAAAGTGATATGAACTCAGTAGAAACTGTACTTCAAGTGTTGAACTTTTCCCCTGGTAGTGTGTGGGGTACTACACCCTCTGGTGATGCTGGCCAGCAGGCAGGCACTGCCCAGGGCAGCCTCACCAGGGCAAGGTCAGTGCCCGGGCTCTGCAGGTGCACTGTGATACCAGCATTGTTGTTGTTGTTTTTATTATTTTGTTCTGAGACCGTTTAAGGTAGGCTAGGCAAAGCTGTGGTGTTTGATAGGTTAGGCGTAGAAAATGTATTTTTTGACATTTTCACATAGGCTGGGCTTATCAGGCAGTAACCCCATTGTAAGGTGAGCATCTGTACATTTTTAGGTTCAGGTTGCCGATTTGAACGCTGATGTGTTGAGTTACTCTGGCTTGACAGCTCATCCTCTCTAATGACTTGATGAGTTAGATGCTAGTAAGCAAATTAACATGTAGTTAAGTGTTTACTCCTAGACTTACTAGCATATCTTTAAGAAGGCGACATGCAGTAATTTAGCTTTCAGGATTGTGTTGTCTTTTGGAATAATGAGTTCATTTTCCTTATCTCCGGTTAAAAAACATTTGTATGTAAAATATTATCTTGGTACATAGTTTTTCTGTTTGAATGGGTCTATTTATAATTGTTTGAGAGATTTCCCAAGTCAGGTTGAGAAAAGGAATCTTTTTTCAGTTTAGTAATAGATAATTCAGTTTACTCTTTGGGGTTTTAAATTGAATTGGTTTTTAAGAAATCCTAAATCACAAACAGATGACAGTTGATTGATCTCATTAAGTTCTGTTTTAAAGCACCCAACTGGGACTTGGTCTCTGTTTCCTTAGACATGGGTGGTGGGCACGTAGGGCTGGCCCGTCAGTTGGAGAGCCACTTCTTGCAGAGCTCCTGTGCAGGGAGAAGCTGCTGGTCCTCTGTCAGAGCAAGACAGACGCTGGGGAACTTTTTCATTTTCTAGTTTTTCTTCCCCACTTACACCTGAACATTTCTGTTTGTAGAGGTGATCTCCAGAATCCTACTAGAAAGCTTTTCTCATAATGAGGAATTGTTGTTTTTAAATGTCCATATGTTGTTTTTCTTAGCTTTTTCGTTATCTGTTATCTAGGTCACACTTTCTATTATGTTTTCTAGAGAACCTTCTCATACTATGAAGTTTATTCTGGTCTTGGAAGTTAAGCTTTGCATTTAATGTGTTGTTGCTCTCATTATGATGTAGGTAAGCTTACGTCAATTCTCTAAACCAATATTTCAAGGCCAACAGTGTCAAATTGCTTTATCTAAACTTGTTTGAAATTTTTTACCATCTTGGTGAATTTTTTTTTAATTCTATTGGGCCATCGCAAATTATATTTCTTAGTTTTCTACAAGAATGCTAGCGCTCTACTGGCCTTTCTGATGTTCAACAAAGGTTGAGCAAATTATTGCAGAATTCGATTTGTAGGAATAAGCTGTAAGCCTTATATTTATATATTTAGGTAATCTTTTCATGTATGTGTGTGATAATATAGTTGTGATTTGTTTTCTTTTGCTAGCTTTTTTTGGGAGGTACAATGATGAGTATCTATAATCACATTTTACCACTCCATTGATCACCTGTGATTGGTGGTTTCTGGTAGCCTTGATAACTGCTGATAATTCTGTGGTTCTGTTTAGGAAGATGATAAGTTTGGCTTTTGGATTATATTCACTTAAAAAAAAATTCAGATTATGTTTTAAAATCAACCTGGTTATGTTTGCTTTTTCCTTCATATTTACATGTGTGTGTAGAAGGAGGGCTTCCAAAGAAAGAGCAGGTAATAGATTTATCATTGCACATTTTACAGCCCTTCCTCACGTGGGTCCTGGTGTGTTTTTAGAATTTTCTAATGAGAGTTGATGCTCAAACTCAACGTTGACATTTTATCACCAGGAGATTGATTTTAAGCTGAATTAATGTCTTATTGTGGAAAATTAGAGCTCATAATACTAGCTTCCGAAAGCTATTTAGTCCTGTCCTTTTCTCTTTTTTTATGTTAAGGCATTATTTCTGTCAGGGTTTCTAATTACTCATTGTGGGACCTGCTTGCCAGCCTCCACTCCCTGCATCTGTGTGTTCTGTTGCCTGGCTTACCTGTCTCCGGCCCTGGTCGGCTGTTAGAGTCCTGCTTTTAAAAATATTGTCTGTCGTACGCTAGGTGCTCAATAAACATTTTGTGGAAAGTATATCGCTGTCTGTACTGACAGGAGGTTGGGCATGTGCTTTCATAAAACGTGAAGTTGTGTGTTAGGCCATTAAATATGAAAGACTTAGGTTTTCAGATCTCATTTTTTTGTATAAAAGTTACAACTAAATTCAAAAACTGTGCTAGGTAGTTGACTACTTTGCTTCATGAGATATATATATATTTTTTATCCTCACCTGAGGACATTTTTCCATTTTTTGTTCAGATAGAGTGGGAGGGAGAGAGAGGAAGAGACAGAGAGAGAGAAACATCGACGTGAAAGGGACACATCGAGTGGCTGCCACCCGCATGACCGACCAGGGCCGGGGACAAACTGCAACCGAGGTACGTGCCCTTAGCGGGAACCGAACCTGGGTCTCTCTGGACCACAGGCTGATGCTCTAACCGCTGAGCCAAACCGGCCAGGGCCATGAGATATTTCTTAAAGTCATTCTATTTATTGTTTCTTGAGTTTATTGCCTTCTTTTTGCACAGATGAAAAAAATAACCCACAATTTGTGTAGGTGGATAACCACAAACGCTTTATCAAAGGTGGCTATTTTCATAGTTTTTATTAATACTTTAAAAATATTTATTTTAATACTCTGATTGATCTTGAGAAGTAATGTGATGATTTCTGCCACCAGAGGAGTGTGCAAAGGTAGCTCCGGTGTGCCAGCAGCGGCGGAGTAGGAGGCCTGCAGGTGAAGTAGTAGTGATTCCGTACTTACAGCCGAGCCCGTGCTCTAGACTGCTGCTTAGGTCACAGCTCTTTGATCCTACAACCTATGTTTGAACCCATTTTAAAAACAACAGTTGCATTATTATACATTAGTACCTTGGAACGTCTTTTTTTCAGGTGACTAATGTATAATGAGAGAGTTGCCAGTGGTGTGTTTTCAGTATTTATAGGCCTATCTGTTCCCTTGTTTTGTTTTTACAACTTGAACCTCGGTGGTGGTTGTGAAGTTCATTTCCTGGAGTAATTGGCTAAGGGTTATATTTGTATGGGCGTGTGCTTGTGAGTCTGAGGTACAGGCCTGTTCTGCCATGGTTTAGTTATCGTAAATGGAAACTGTAGCTAGATGAGCTTTAATTTGCTATCTTCCTGCCAGTGAAGAATAATTTTACTTGATGCAATTTATAGACTTAATGGAATGTAAATGTTGTAAGTATAG